GTGCAGTCGAGCTGACGCAGTAGATGCCACTGTTACCCAACGACAGACAAGGAAACAGCAGACAGGTCACTCAGCTACCCAGTGGCAGATCCAAGTATTAAACCCAGAGCACAGATTTGAGCCAAATCACTGAAAAGCCCTCTGCAGCATGAGGTCACTGCTTCCTCCTTAGTCGGGATCTAATGATCCAGTGCTCCTATCCTGCTTGGGTCGGGATCTGATGATACAGCACCCACATCCTCTCTGTATCCACAAAACCTGCTTTTGCCTCCTTTCTCTCTCTTCCTTTCATTCATCCTCAAGCCCCAATTTTCTCCAATGTTCCCAACGACCGAATGCTTTTTCAGTCGACTTCTTTTTGGCTCCATGTTTCCGCTTCACCTCAGCTTTTCTCAGACACAGGTTGAGGAGCCTTGGAGCCACTTCTGCATTTGCTGTTCATGTCCTCCTACCTCTGAGCCAGCAGGAATGTTTGCCCTTGATCTTGGGGAAAACCTGAATATTCCATTAATCAGTTGATCAACAGGTACCTTACTTTGGCTTGGGAAGCCTTGAGGACCGTGGTCTCTCTCCTGTGGAAGATGCAGGCGAGAACTTGACTCTCACCTCCCAGTGTGGTAAGGTCTGGGCTACAGGTATTAGGGGGAGTCTGCAACCAAGACCTGGGGGTTCACAGAAGGCTCCCTGGAGGACATGGCACCCTGGGTGAGGCAGAAATTAGTGGGAAGAGCACGTGCCACAAAGCCACAGGAACAGAAGTGGCAGTGAGGCACCCCATGAGGCTGTGCATGAGTCTGGGCTCTATCCAAGAGACCATGGCTCCAGGGACATCATCAGATGAGTGTCCCGAGGGTTCTTGGAGAAAGCGAGCCTGGAGGCAGGTGCCAGGTGAGGGGGCTGGGGCTCGCCTCTGCTAGGAGAAAGAGGGGAAGACGTGGAAGGCAAATAGTATTTAGCAATGAAACTTTGACTCTAATAGAATGAACAACTCAAGACAAATGCAGATTCAAAGCTGACTTGGACTGGCAGGTGTCCCGGTCCACAGCTGATGACCGCCTGAGTCGGCCTCATTCTTGGCATCTCCTGCAGGTCCTGGTCTCAGCTCCTCTCTACTGTGGAATGACCTCACGGATTTGATAGGCCCTGACTCCTCCTCCCTGTGTATCTTAGCAGACTGTTTCCAGGACCAAACTTTCCTACTGGCAAAGCCCTGTTTAAATGTGGTTGCACAGACCGTCAGATGACAGGTGTGCATGATGAACACAGGTTGCTGGGATGGCCAGCCCACTGCTGACCTGCACAGGCTCAGAACACACACAGTGAAACCACCAAACCTTCCTTCACTTAAGCCACAACCCTATGGTTTAATAATTAATACTTTAAACCCCAAACGTATGAATTTATGTGTATCTCTGTTAAATTTCACCTGATTGGTTTTGGTTCTTTGTCTCCACCTGTTAAAAGGCAACTTTGAGTTGTATTTTGTCATATACAGTGCATTATTCTTTCCAGTGTTACTTTTTACATAATTTTAATAATCTTCAATTAAGTATTGAGCAAGTTCTGGAGCGAGATTTTCAAACACAGGTCTCCATGCCTCTCAACAGGCTGGCGTTGAAAGTGAGGTGAACAAGGCGTGTGGTGCGCAGGCCTTTCTCGACCCTGTGAAATTAGATGGAGCAATGAGATCTTCCATTTCACTCAAGCTTAGATACATCACAGATTTCACTGTGATGGTTTGAATATACTTTTATGATGATGAAAAGTACTTACTCTCTTTATGTAAAAAAAAATTACACGTATTGCAAACTTGCAGAGAAGATTCCATAAGAAACTGAGATGTTTGGACCTTTATTGATGGGACCTAGAAGGCCAAGACAGACAGAACATTGATTTGAAGAACATGACGTTTCCAAAGACTGAAAAAAAAATCTTTTCCCCCCAGGGAAAGATTCACCCTGAGCTAACATCTGTTGCCAATCTTCCTCTCTTTTTTCTTTTCCTTCCCCAAACCCCAGTGCATGGTTGTATATGCTAGCTGTAGGTCCTTCTAGTTCTTCTATGTGAGCCGCCACCACAGTATGGCAACTGACAGACAGGTAGTGTGGTTCCATGCCTGGACACTGAACCTGGGCCGCCAAAGCAGTGAGTGCCCAACTTGAACCATTAGGCCCTCAGAGCTGACGCCCCACTGTCTTTTGCAGGCAGTGCTCCCTGGAAGCCTGTTGATCTTTCTCTCCTATTAAGTGTTTTCATTTGCTCAATATTTGGTTATTTCCAGTTGTGTTTTCTGGCTGCGCAGACAGTCCTAAGATTTCCACGGTCTGTCCTTGGGTCTCGCTGTCTCCACTAAGTTTAGGTGGTGGGACTTGGGGTCGTATCTGAGGCTCCACATGCAGATCACCAATTTATTGTAAACGGATTTCGGGAACAGCCATAGGGAGAGACATACAGGGCGAGTGTGAGAAGGGGCACACCGCTCCCCCCTCCATGTGTTCACAACCTGGAGGCCCCTGAAGATGCTGTGAGTGACTCAGGTTCCAAGTCCTTTCGTGGAAAACAAAGCTGAACAGGAAGCATTCTTTCTGTTTGGGAAGTCCTGTGTTTTGTTTCTTTTCACATCAAAGACAAAATTAGTCCTTAAAAACGTGCCGAGTGCTGCAGCCCAGTTGCTGACATGGGTGCTATTAATATTTCTCTGCCCCAGTCCACATGGCCACACACCCTTTCACCACTTGTCCCAAAGCACTCAGCAGGAAATGGAAACAGATCCACGTGATTGACTTCCCACCTCTTGTGAACACGACTCCAGCAGCAGCAGCTTCAGGGCCCGTGTGGACACCATCCAGGGTCACATCCCAGTCTCTGTTTGACATGTAAACTTACTTTGCTCCTTCTACTCTTGGTCCAAATACTACATCTGTCTGATTCCTGGCCCCTTATTTTCACTCTACTTGAACTATTATGTGGTGTTTTGTCTATCCTGACAAATTGTCTTAACTCCTTCCTGTAAGAGTGTGGAGTATACACAAAATTCCTTGGGTCTGAAAAGAAAATTTTGTTCCTGCCATTTGTTAATTTTATACAGAGCTTAGCCCTGGAGCACAAACGGAAAGAAAGGAGCAAGCCAGCCTCTTGGACCAGGCTCTCCTACAACCCCCATTCCTTTGACACATGGAAGACTGATGGGGACACCCGCATTTTGCTGTGTACCGACATCACAACCCAGGGCCTGCCACCACTTGCCCCCCGCACTTCCTGCAGTGTGGACCCGGAAAGTGGTCAGTAGAGCAGGCTGCTCACTGCTGTGGGGTCAGTATTAACCATGTTTTTTATTTTCTGTATTTACGTTTTGACATCCTGGGGGTGTCGTTCGCTGCAGTGAGACAGCCCCTCTGAGGTCACTAACTCCTAGACACAGTAGATGGCTCCCCTGTGAGCATGCCTCTCATGTGAGACCAGCCAGTCCAGAGCCAGATCCCCGACCACCTCTTTTACCCAGCTCTTACCCTCCCAGGCCAGCATTTCCTCTGCCCCAACGCCCCCGGGGCCAGGTATAGGACAACCAGAGACCATCCCTATGGTCAATGGCCTGCCAAAATTATTCAGATCATCCAACCCTAAGCTTGCCCAAACTTGCCTCCCTGCCTTGCCCATTCCTTCACACAGAAACCACCATCTGTCCTCTCCACTGCCCTGACTCCTGACCAATCTTGGTGCCTCCCTCTGAGGCCTTGCACAGCGTGGAGGCTCCTGACTCTTGCAAACTGAAGGTAATGAACTCTTCTTTCAAAGCAGCTGTCTCCAAGCCTGCCATCTTACCATCCCTGATTAGCACAAATCCCATGTACATTTAAAACACATCCATCCTCCCTCTGGAGGTTTCTTTGGTCAGGAGGGAGGAGGCTGTATGAGCAACCTGTGCTCGCAAGGAAACGCTTCACACACCAGGCTATGCACATCCTCCCAGGCAGGCAGAATCACACAAACACTACCACACATGCACACACCTGGAGCATCGCAGTGGTCTGCCTGTGTCCTGTGAGGCCGTCCCTTAAACAGGGGCTGCTGCTGTGCTGGCAAAGGCTGAGCTTCTCGGTGCCATATCCCTGCTGGGGCACTGCACCCTGTCGCAGATGCCTGCAGAGGAAGCGGCACTGGTGGCCTGCCAGGGAAAAGGGCAATGCTTTCCTTCCTGAAACTTTACAAAAATGGAAATTCACTCCTGAAAAGCCATGTTACAAGTTTCCTTCCTTATCTTAATAGAGCACCTTTCTCTGATTATCTGAACTTTGCTAACGCCATGTTTAGTATTTCAAGGTTGATGATGCTTGGGAAAAGGAGATGTCCCAAGCCCAAAAGAATGTTCCTCTACATCACACTTAAATAACGGTTTGTTTTCTTCCGACATCTCTATAACACATGTGCTTTCTCTGAAAGGCATGTGACAGCCATCTTGTACTTAGGAAAACTACACGGCACTGCAGCACCATGCTAGGGGCTATTTTTAAAGAGTGAAATCACCATCAAAAGGCACAAAAATGTGAAAAATGCGGCACCAAACATACTGTGAAAAGGACAGCTGTTTATAGTATGAGATGAACCAGAAGGCAGAGGGCTGCCGTGTTTGAACTTAACTGGCAATGTGTGCATTGCATGACTCCAATTTTCACCTCTCTGTGCACGTCAGAGAACAACCGTGAAAGTGCCATGAGTACTGACTGGGTGGTTACAAAGAGATTCTAGTCCATAGGCAAACTTGCAAATATGGAACCTGCAAACAATGAGGATTAACTGCGTTGCCATCCACCAAAACGATTCCTGAAGTTTCCACAGGTCCCCCCCCTCCTCCCAAGAACAAAGCAGTGAGGGAGGGAGGCTCAGAGATGATAACGGATGCACCTCACACCAAGGCTTTCCTGTGGAACGCTAGAAACGTATCCTTTCTCACAGCAGAGTTCCTCTCGCACAGACAGGTCAAGTCGGCAGAGCTGATGCCTCGTGATCTCTAACGGTCACCTCACTCCTTTCTGTTGCCGCCTCTCTCCACCTGTAGTTCCTGCTCTGCTTCTGGGAGCTCCCACCCATGTCCCAGGCTATGTTCCTCCAGACAGGCCCCGCTGTCGCCCAGGTCGTCTTCACCTGCCGTCCCCCACAGGTGGTTCTTGGGGGAGAGGTCCTCGTCAATGCGGGGCTTGGTCTTTTTCCTCTTTTTCATTTGCTTTGTCAGCTCAGCCACATGCTCCAGGCTCACACTCCCATGCGCTCTCTCTTTCCTCCTCTTGTACTCCATGATCTGCTTGTTGAGCGCCTCGTGATTGATCCCACACACAGTCGAGTGCATTGCAGGGCCTGGAGTGTCGCACAGCGATGGGGCATTCTGGGCCTCGGGGTCCCTGCTGGGGAGAAGAGGACTCTTCACACTGAGCACAAACGAGCACCGAGAACACTTCCCACACCCCCTTCTCATGAACCGTCCTAATGTCTGTCTAGGGTAAATTGAGGAAGCAGAAGGAAAGTGGGGTGTGGCTGGGCTTTCTCCAGTCTAGAAGCACTCAGCCAGCTCTCCTGGGGCCTGTGTGGCATGGCCCAGCAGGGATCTGATGTAGCCATTCTGTACTGCCATCAAACGCCTTTTCAGTTTTTTTCCATTTAAACACGGCCAGTGCACTAGGTCAGCTAAACAGAATTATGGGTGGGGTCTTTTAAATCTACTCAGGCCACTTGGTGAAGCAAAAGAAAAGAGAAGACAAGAGTCTACGCTGGGAGCAAAACCAAAGAAAGTCTTTCAAAACCCCAATATGGCCATGTCACCCCTTTAAACCCTCTAACGCTCCACTCTGGAAGTCTCCAAGCCCATGGGTCCTGCTCCCCCTGCCTCCTCGCCGATTGGGACATGCGGACTCTACTGCATGGGGCCCCTGCTCTAGCTCAGTGTCCCCAGAGTGCAGCATCCCTCACCTGGAAGGCTGTTGCCACAGCCCTGAGCTCCTGAAAGCACCCGTGTGATGGTGATGGAGCCAGTCAGACCAAGAGCCTGCCTGCTGGCCCCTGGCCTGGAACAGCCCCCTCCACATACACCCCTCAAATCCCCATGTCACTTTCTCAGACAGAGGCCTACCCTGGCCGTCAGATCTAAACCTGCGGTGCTGTCCCCACCCACTGGCCCTCCTGATCCCCGACCATGCTGTACCTCCCCCACCTAACATTCAATTTCCTGCTCAGTGACATCCATTGCTTCCTGTTGGCCTCCCCTAGCCAAGACCCTGCTGTCTGTTCTGTTCAGGGATGTATTCTAAGTGCTGGAACAGGGCCTGGAAAGCAGCAGGCACTCAATAACAACGTGCCGAGTGAATGAAGAGGATGAGGGGAGACACCTGTCCTCACCTGAAAGGTGCCGCAAGGATGGCAGACACCACAGGCCCCGGACCCCTGGGTGGACCACAGAGGTCCTCCCGACAGCTGCGCTAAGGTGCTGGGTGCTTCGCCAGGTTGCCACTGGTGCTGCCGCATGCTCACGCCAGGCTGGGCCCTGGGGGCACGAGGCAGGGCCTGGCCCACACACAGTCCATGGCGTGTAGAACGGCGCAGTGCTGTGGAAACCAGCAATTCCAGGCCTGGTATCTGCCCAAGAGAACCAAAAACCTACGTCCACCCATGTCACCTGAAATCACTGTGCATAAAGTTGTCTTTTTCATTTGGGGGTCCAAAGTCAGCAACTGCCAGTAACCAATCAACCTGAAAAGGAGAAGAGAGAGGGTAAACAGCAGGCCACACCCTGCGCTGCCTGTGGCGAAGTGCGGCTCGATCAGAACATGAGCATCACGCTTCCCCATGCTGGCTCCACCGCAGGCCTCCCGACGGCCCTTCACATCATGCCTTCCAGATGACGAGACCCGCTCAGTAGCAGGTGCTTTCAAACACCTCTAATTTTAGCAATCATGTTTTCTCTGATAATGAACTGTGGCTTTTTTAAAACTACATTTAAAACTTGTGTTAGTCAAATTTATGAAGAAACTAGTTAAGTATTAGCTGAATTAAATAACAGTTACTGGTTTCTAATGTAGTTTTGTAAGATGCTTCAGTTTTGCCACAGAATTTGTGTGTCTGGGGGAAAAAAAGCCTCCCAGCACAGCAACATGAAAGTCACCCATTGGGGGTCCGGCCGTCAAAAGCAGCTCTGCGGAGGCTGAGGGACTATATCGGGAATAAAAAGTGCTCCTCAGCAGGGCACACACAATGCTGCCCACCCACAGCGGGCCCTGCTCCCCAGACACCGCAGGTGGCTCACACCTGTACTGGCCTGTTCTGACGGCCTCTGGGGTCATCCACCGAGGCTGTGCACTGAGATCCTACCTCGCAGCACTGACCCACTTCAGTGCAAGCCCAGGGGAGCCTGTGTCCAAAACCATGGCCTGTCATTCCCTAGGCAACATAAACCATTATCATGATGGCACAGCAATAAAAATCACACACGTGAAAAGCAGCGGAACCAGGAGAAAAATCAGTCCACAGAAGATACCAGAAACAGGGCTGATGATGCTAAGAAACAAGGACAAACTGGACTTTTCCAAAGTTAAAACTGGGAGAAAATATTCACAATGCACATACCTGACAAGGGGCTCATACCAGATAGATAACAAACCCATACAACTCACCAATAAGCAAACCTTACGAAAAATGGGCAGAAGATTTATAGACTTCACAAAAGAAGGAACGACCAATAGACACATGAAGAGATGCTCAATATTGTTTGTCATCCAGAAAATGCACCCTTTTCATCTCCTCTGGGCACGTGTGGGACGTGGTGAGGCAGACACTGGACGAGCTTAAGGTGGCCTCCAACACAAAACCCAACAGCATAATCTCTGGAGAAAAGACCTGTCCCCAGAAACGCTTAAGCATTACATGCATGCCCCCAATGACTTGTCTGGAAAGGAACCTACAGAGCCAGGTAGGACCTTGCCAGCTATTAAGTCTACCTCTCCAGACAGAGGGACAAGCCACGGCGTGGTAAGAGCGGAGGGCTCATCCTCCCCAGAGAGAGGGACAAGTCACAGCATGGTGAAAACAGAGGGCTCAATCTCCCCAGAACGAGGAACAAGCCATGGCGTGGTGAGAACGGAGGGCTCATCCTTCCCAGAAGGAGGGACAAGTCACAGTGTGGTGAAAACGGAGGGCTCAATCTCCCCAGGGAGAGGGACAAGTCACGGGTGGTGAGAACAGATGGCTCATCCTCCCGAGAGAGAGAGACAACTCATGGTGTGGTGAGAACTGAGGGCTCAATCTCCCCAGGGAGAGGGACAAGTCACGGCGTGGTGAGAACTGAGGGCTCAATCTCCCCAGAGAGAGGGACAAGTCATGGCATGGTGAGAGCAGAGGGCTCATCCTCCAGGGGAGATGAGGACTGCTTTCTACCATCCCGACCACATGTGCCGGGTGAATTCCCTGCTAAGCACCTTTGTGGCTCACGCCATGACCTAATTTCTACCCGATTCTTTAAAGAAGACTGCAGCTTCACCCCCTTGTTCCCTTTTCTACTAGCAAGTCACATCCGTCAAGGTTGTTATTTGTATAATGTTCTCAGTACCACTTGTGTAACAAATAATAAAAGACAGAAATGTCCAATTAGACTTTTTTTCCTCTGTGGATCGAAATACTACCTAGTCCTCCAGTGAATAATAGCTACCTAATTATAATACTGTAAACGCCACTTACTGGTTTTTTGGGGTAAACTTTTTAAAGGCATAACATACCTTAATAACCACCAGGTAACCACCACCCACATAAAATATAGGTATATATTTACAGGTTTTAACCTTTATAATTATCCTATATCTAAAGGAAGGAAAACAATTGTAAAACAATTATAGCTACAGGACAGAACACAAACCTTGTAAGCCTTGATAGAGTACAATAACCATCCACGGCTGAAATCTAGGGAGCTGTGAGGAGGAAGCACGAGAGGGCAGCTCTGACTGCTGTGCATTTACAATTCAAGAAATGGAGGTTTGGTTTACTAGTTTAAAGCATAGGCATTACAAAAATTAAAGCCAGAAACAGTGGTCACCTCTGGGGAAATCAGGCAGGACAGGAGCACAAGAGACGCACTTTTCATGTGTACCCTTCCAACCGTTACTTTTCTCAACTGTATACACTGTCTTTTGAATATTTAAAAATTAAACTTAAAATCTTACTCATATAAAAGTTTACATTGTAAAAAGTTAATTATTTAAAGCCTTACCTACAGATGGACAACAGGCACATGAAAAGACGTTCAACATCACTAATCCTCAGGGAAACACAAATCAAAACCACACTAAGATATCACCTTACAGCCGTTAGAATGGCTATAATCACCAACACAAAAAACAATGTTGGAGAGGATGCGGAGAAACAGCAACCCTCATACACTGCTGGTGGAAATGCAAAGTGGTGCAGCCACTATGGAAAACAGTATGGAGATCTCTCAAAAAATTAAAAATAGAAACATCACACAACCCAGCTATTCCACTACTGGGTATTTATCCAAAGAACTTGAAATCAACAATGCAGAGATTTACACACCCCTATGTTCATAGTAGCATTATTCACAACACCCAAGACATGGAAGCAACCCAAGTGTCCATCAACTGATTACTGGATAAAGAAAACGTGGTATATATATATAATGGGATACTACTCAGCCATTAAAAAAAAAGACAAAATCATCTCAGCGGCAACAACATGGATGGTCCTTGATGGTAGGATGTTAAGTGAAATAAGCGTGACAGAGAAAGACAAACACTGTATGATTTCACTCATGTGGAAGATAAACAAATACATGGACAAAGAGAACAGATTAGTGGTTACTAATTAGAGGGGAAGGGGCTTGGCGGGTGGGCATAAGGGGTAAAGGTGCACATATATATGGTGACTGACAAATAAAGTAAAACTGAAATTTCACAGTATTATAAACTATTATGACCACAATTAAAAAAAAAAAGAGCCTTACCTCAGCTAGAGCTGCATTTTCTTTGTCCTGAACAAACACTATCGGTGGCACATTCCTCAGGGTCTGCTGGGACATCAAAAGATGCCTGGAGACAGAGACAATGCAGATTTGCGTGGCTGTAGGTGACGCTTAGTGGAGAGGTGTGACAGTGCCAGAAACAAAAATATATGGTAATCTCAAGACGCAGAAATAAGATCTGCTTATCACATCATCCAAAAATGAAAACAGCCGCCAAGCGCCACAGGAGGGACACAAACGCGTCACCACCACCACGGCTCTTAATCCTCTAAACGCGACTTCTGAGATCCTCACCCAGAACCTGATCTGAACTCAGACGCCCTCCTGCACATCACAGTGGCCTCAGGCTCCACGTTTGGGCACCAACAACCTGTTGGTGTTTCGTCCCTCCCTCCATGGACATTCATGGGCAAGGACACCACAGCCCTCCCCACCTGAGTATCAGACACGGAAATGTCTTTGTGGCATTCAGTCAGGCAACCCAAGCAGATACAAGCTAAATCGAGGTGCGACAAGCACCAGTGACAACGCTGCTGTGACATGTGGCATGTCTGCTCAGTGACACAGATCTGGGTACGCAGTTATGGAGAAACCTTTACACTGAACCTTGGGTGATCAGAAGAGTTGGGAAAAGGGACATTCTGTTTAACAGAATTTTCTGATTACCGAAAAATTAATCAGAAAACAATACTGTTATATCAACACTTGGAAAGCTCTTATTTTCTTGTTTCTTTTAAATGTAAAAAATGAAATAAACTGACCATTCTTTGGTACACAACTTCAGAGACTATCAGGGATTACAGTGATGTGTATCAGTGATCATGACGCAGAGGGGCTGAGGTGAAGGCATATGAAAACACAAGTTGCACACATGACTCTGACTTCTCAGCATCTGTCCCCTCCTCCTAGAAATGAAATCTGACATAAAGAGGAGAGGCGAGAGGGACAGAGAGAAAGGACAGGGAAGTGGCTTAGTGCTGGTTAGTTAGGTGTCTGCATTTTTTAAGACTGAGGAGAAAACCAAAGAGCTTTTTTACTATCACCCACCTCAGCAGTTCTCAAAGTTTTTGATCTCAGAACCACTTTATACTCTTAAAAATTACTAAGGACACCAAAGAGCTTGTGTTTATGTGGGTTATATCTATCAATATTTACCATACTAGAAATTAAAACTGAGAGTTTTAAAAATATGCATTTATTCATTTAAAATAGTAAGTCGACCAAATGTTCACATAGACATTTTAAATGAAAAACTATCTTTTCAAAAAAAACTGAGAAGAGTGGCACTGTCCATGTAGTTGCAAATTTCTTTAATGCCTAGCTTAATGGAAGACAGCTAAATTCTCATCTCTGCATCTGCATTCCCTCTGTTCTGATATATGGTTTTCGTTTTAAGAGGAAAATCCAGCCTCACACAGATCTGCAACTGGAAAAAAGAGCATATGAAGAGCCCTTCATGACAGTGTGGATCTTCTTTGATACTACACAAAAACTCAACAAATGGTAGTTTATTAATGGTTAGCTGCAATGTGCAACCTGAAACCAGATCAGTGAGCATCCTCACTCTGTCACACTGAAATCCACTGGTCTATCCTGCACTTTGACCTTTCCCTGTGCGTAACTGTGTAATCTCATGCACTGCTCACTGGAAAATACTGTTCACCAAGTCATGCAGATTCTCAGAATATGAACACATTTTACTACACAACATTGCATTTGTTAATATCACCACCAATCTCATCAAGAGTGTTTACCAGAAAGCTGTCAAACTCACAGCGGTGGATATAAGTTTCTAAAATTTTGATTTTCACTTGAAAGCTTGAATTTTATCCCTAACAAATACCGTAACAAATATGGTCAGTTGTTTCCCCTAAGTAACAGGTTCACTTTGCTTATTTTGGAGAAAATGTCTGTCAAACACCCAAATCTGAATAACCATAGCTGGTTCACTTGTTCTGTCAAGTGAAAAAGTGTCCTCTTTGGCTCATGATTAGCAGCTGCAGCGCTCTTCCTGAGACAACCATCCTACGTCAGCACACAGCAGTGTTTCACGTACACTTTCCACCACACGGAATACTAGGAAGACACGTATCCAAGCGTTGAGATTTAATAAAACGAGTAGCTTCTGCTTCTTCCCCAAATCAGCACTGTGTGTAACTGTGAGCGTATGGCATGAAGCTGCAACCACCACCAGGACATTGGGCCAGCAATTTTACCCACTGTGGCTTCCGTGCAAACGTCACCAGTGAGGAAGGAAAATAACGTCTTATTGTGAAAATAGCTCTAACCTCACGATGCCCCTCAAAAAGACCTCAGAGGTCCCTAGGACCAACTTTGAGAATTGCTGACCTAGATTATGGCTTACATGAAAATGTAAATTATACCCTGAAATTCAAGAAAATGCTTCCAAAATTTTCCTTAAAACCAAAAGTACTTAACGAGACAGGCTGGGAAATTCAACGTGTAAGAAAAGCAAATTCATTTAGGAAGCAAAGCGTCATCACCTCATATGTGCAGCACTCCTCTGTAGGGCAGCCTCTGTGTGCGCGTTCTGCTCAGCAGACAGCGTTGTCTTCCAGTACACGCGGCAGGCTGAGAAGTCTGAAGTCAGAGAGACCTGAGCCCCACCCACCCCAGCCTCACATCACTTTCAGCTTACATGGGTTTTCCGGAGACAGACAACATTCAGGAGATGAAAAGTAACTCATCAGCAGTCTTCAGCTCCAGGCACCCCTGCTGCCCCAAAGCTAGTGCTCCAGCCCTCTGCTCAGGCCAGCACCTCCCACCGCACACTCAAAGATGAGGGAGTGGGGCCCGGAACCCGACACCTCCTCTTCCCTGACCCCAACCCCACAGTGCTCATCGAAAATGCCTGAACTGTCACTTATGCTCCTCACTACTTCAAATGGCTAAATCCACTCTGAGTGGATAGAGAGCAGCAAGTCACCCCCTTTATCTTTACACCAAGATAACGGCAGACACGTCTACTTCTCATCTTTCCCTTAGACCTTCCAGTGCTCCACTTTTCATCACTCACTGGGCATTTGACAATGCGTTCAGCACCGTCTGGTCAAAGGCCCCACCGGTGTGCAGTGAAACGTCTGCTTTCGCACCACATGTGTGCCCTCTGTCTGCCTTTACTACTTAAATGGCCACACTTAGCATGACTTCTGCAGCCCCAACAAAAGAGGTTGTAAGTGACGTGGTGCCTTCTTTTAACTGGTAAGCAAGACCGTGGCGTGTGGAGGAAGGGCGAGGCCTGCTGTCCTCAGCCCCCGTTTCCTCTTGTTCTGGCCCTGCAGTCTACCTTGGAGAGCTCCACGTTCAGGTCACAGATCTCCTGGCTCACTTCAGGGGTGCACAGCAAATCGGTCAGCGCTTTGTACAGGAGGCCATTCAGGGCCCTCAGACGCACATGGTCTTCTTTCTTGGTTTTCTTTGAGGTACTTTTCGTTAGGAATTCCAACTGGGATGGCTTGTAAGCCTCCATCAAAAAGAAGAACAGACACAAAGGCCAACATTACAACTGTAAATTATACTTGTACTAACAATAAAGGGGGCTGGGAGGACTTGAACACCTCGACACACAACAAACAAACGTTACTCTTAGCCATCTTAGCTTTCATTAAGATACAGTTTATTTTACAGACCTGGATCCTTCTAGATTTTACCTAACATCCCTCAAAGATTAAAAGTACTGCCAGTACATATTTTTTCCCCCCGAAATTTTCAGTCAAATGTAATCCAGACACCATAAAATTCTTCTAAAAGTGTACAATTCACTGATTTTTAGTACACAGTGTATTTTTTTCTAACAAGAGCCATTCGTTATATGAACTTTTACAGTCTAGGTATGCAAGTATGTGTATGTTATATACACACACTAAAAACTGAATGGATATTACCATATGGGAACTTGACAATACGTATGACATTCTAGAAGACTTTAGCATAATTTTTTTTTAAAGATCAAAATTCCATGTTACCAATGCATTTGGTCCCACCCACACAGACACTGCCCCTCCAACAGGGAAATGGAAAGACTGCCAGGCTGGAGCTTTGCTGACTTTCGGAATCTCATGCGCATCAAGATTCTAAAGTAGCTCATCGCTGCTACTCTATACTTACCAAGTGAGAGCCCAAGGAAGGACCTTCATACCAAAACTTTTTTCTGTGGGGAGAAAATAAGAACTATGTTGGATGTTAAGGGCGAATTAAAGAAGAAAAAGTTATATAAGATAACCTGAGTCCACAACTGTTTCTAAGGGGCTAAAAAGACACAGAAACGATATGACTGGAGATCTAAAAATTTAGATATCTAATTGACAACAACACGGACTGTGGGGGAGACACAGACACGGTTTAATTCGACCTCATAATTATCACTTAAAGTCTACTTCTGGTCCCAAAGGTAGAGAAAGACATTCTAAAAAATATACCTACCAATCTGCACGGGAGCACTATACCCTACTTGATACAGCTGTTCCCAGGAGGGAACGGTCACCAACTCTGATACCCCCATACATGTATAACAGGACTGAACAACTAAGCGAATGGGTGGAGGATGGGGGAGCCAGGCATCTCACTGCTGCAGTGGGAGGTTACAGATATGCAAGGAAAAGCTAGAATGATCTGTGTGTAGTAGTGGATCAGAGTCGGAGTTCAACATACACTCAAGTTTCACTTAATACCGACACAGACGGTAACACAGAAATGTTCGTTGATGAGTGTATATGCAGGAGTTAAGATGAACACATTATTTTCTGCTCTGTCAGCTGAAAGGCCCTAAAAGACAGATGCCCCAGTAGCAACACACACACCCAGCTCTCAAATGGTGGTTTCCAATGCTGTTCTCCAAAAAGAGGAACCAGAGCTCCTTGGAGAAACGGCTGATTCTAGGGATAAGGCATCTTGTAGTGCCAGAAAGTAAGAAAGTCTCAAAAAAATTTAAAACTACCACAAAATCCCATAATAATGTGGTACGTCAAAGGGATCCAGAAGCCAACTGTAAGAGTTCCCAATGGTCAAAGCTGGAACGATTTGAGCAAAATAAAGGAGTATGAGTCCCTACTGACATGAATCAATTAATAAATGGAAAAGAAACACATCTCCCACGCAGAATTCCAAATAATTCACGAGTATAACTGCCCACTCCTTAGGTGTGGGCTGCACGTGGTGACTCCCCCCAAAGACCACAGTATGGAAGGCAGAGGGGACACAGCTTCATAGCAAATAAACCTGACAAACAGGACCTCAGCAGTGATCAACGCCAACATCAACACTGATAAACCATGTCGACAGCAAGTGCCCTAGCAATGATGTGATGGAAACTGCACTTTACCTCTGGGGGCTTCTTCCCAAAAACCCATAACCCCAGTACTATTATGAGGAAAATATCACACAAGTACAAGTCCCAACAGAATGGCATCCTATAAAATATCTAACCAGTGCTCTTCAAAACCGTCAAGGTCACAAAAAACGGACAGCTTGAGAAACTGCCACAATCAAGAGGAGCCTAAAGAGATGATGACTAAATGTAATGTGGTTCCTGGATAGACTCCAGGGTACAGAAAAGGGACATTAGGTAAAAACTAAGGAAACGTGAATAAAGCATGGACTCTAGTTAATAAAAATGTATCAATATTGGTTCATTAATCATAGCAAACATGCCACACTTAAGTAAGACGTTAATACAGCAGAAACCTGGTGTGATTATATGGGAACTCTACTATCTTCGCCAATTTTTCTATTAAAACAAAAATAATAACATGTATCTACCATAGTCAAAGTTGAAAGTGGTATGGAAATCAACATATTTTATCATACTTAACGTTAAAAAAAATTATTCTGACAAGCTTTCTTTATTCCTCAAATTAAGCCCACATAGAAAGCATTAACATGGAAAGAAAACTCATATTTTTATTCTTTCCCTCTTTATTTGATGAAACTACTCTCCGGAAAAACCCTTCTGGTAAGAAGAAACAACACAAATGTATACATCACTTCGCTTCATACGTTCACACTGTACTGCTAGTTTTTAACAGACTTAAAACTGTGTCATCTCAACTGTGTAAAAGACAAAAGAGACCGAATAGAAAAAACAGTAAATGTTAACAGAGAGAGAGGCGGAACCACCAGTGATCCTTCAATCATCATTAACAAGCAAAGGCTGCGCTTGCTGCCCTGGCGCTGGGAGCCAGGGGTAGCCCCCGCCCTGTGGCCCGCCCCCCGAGGTCCTCCCCTGCCCTGTACGCCCCCTAGAGTGCACTGCCCCCAGCCCCGCGGACCCCCGCCCCGTGGACCCCTTGCCCAGCCCCGTGGACCCCTGCCCTTCTCCGCCCCCTTGCCCCCTGGACCCCGCTCCGTGGACCCCTGCCATCCTTCGCCTCCTCGCCCCGTGGATCCCGCCCTGTGGACACCAGCCCTGTCCCCCTGCGGGTCCCTCCCACTCGGGGCTCATTACTTAGTTTTTGAGGCAAATTTCTTGAGCAGGTTCTTGCCGCAGGGAACCGGGGAGCCGTGCAGGCCTTGGGCGCCGCCCAGACGGAGCGCCGCGTGACGATCGCCGAGCAGCGCCCGGAGTTTCCCGCGGAGACCCCACAGCCGACTAGCCGCCGCCCACATGGCTGCCGAACAAGCGGCGGCGCGGCGTGCGGCGGCGCGACGAGCGTGCGGGTCGGATCGCCGTGCGTGCGGAGCGCGGTGGGGCGGGGCGCCGTGCGTGCGGGGCGATGTGGGGCGGGGCGGCGTGCGTGAGGGACGCGGTGGGGCGGGGCGGCGTGCGTGCGGAGCGCCGTGGGGCGGGGCGGTGTGGGGTGGGGCGACGTGCGTGCGGAGCGTGGTGGAGCGACGCGGGTAAACTGGGCGGTGCGGCAGGGAGGGGCAGGGTCTAGAGAATGGGTTGGCGAGGCGTGAAGCGGCGGGGCGGGCTGGCGACCTGTGGGCAGGACGCAGGGCGGGGACGGACTGGGCGGGGCCGAGTGCGGGGTGGGCGGGCGCCTGTGGGCCGGGCGGGGCCGAATGCAGCGTGGGCGGGGCCGGCCGCGCCGCTTTCCCACGCGTGGCAGGGCTCGGCTAGCGGCCGCCGAGTGGCAAGGTTGGAACTCGCTGGTGGTGAACCCTACAAACTGCCTGCCTGCCCTGAGCGCAGAATGAGGAACACAGTTTATGCAAACGCAGGAAGCTAACAGACGGGTGCCTTGCAACTCCCCTGCCACAAAGTAGCAAATGAAGAAAGCAGGGAGATGAGCTCTTCGCTGGGTGGCTAAATGCATTGCGGGGGTGGGGAGGCTGGAGTAGAGCCCCTGCTGCCTATACAACTACTAAGGACTCAAGTTTCTTCCTGGCTACACTGCCGATTCCTTTGCTCACGCCAGAACCTTTTCTTCCTGTAATGCCTCCTCACCAGTGTTCCTGGAGAAGGACCACACATTCAAAACCACTCCAGAAAGGAGGCGTACTCATCCAAACCTACTGTCATCGTCATCTCTACAGCGGACCCTGCGTCCAGCACTCTCCTCACCTGTCCGTCCCCCACACACGCTCGTCACTGGCTCTCACAGAGACCGGAACTGTTTGGTCTGCTCCCCACTAGTGAGTAATCACCGGACAGCGGGGACTTTGTTTCCCGCAGTCCCAGCACTTAGAACAGGACTTGGCACATAGAAGATGCTCGATAATCATTTTTTAAATGGTTGAAAGAAATGAAAGCAAGCTATACAATCCAAGAAGCTAGCAGAATTTAACAGGATGGAAAGCAACATAGCCCACTAGGAAATCCACAGACCTAGCCCAGAGTTTTAATCCAAATTCAAATATCTGCAGGCTGTGGGACTTTAGACAAGTAATTCTCTGTGCTCAGTTTCATTATGAATGCTAACAATAGAACTTCCCTCAATGAGATGCTTTGGGGATGAAGTGAGAATGGAAGTAAAGCACTTACCAAGATCTCAACAAATGATAACTATTATTACTAAAGTTTTTCAGCCAAAATAATATTAAGCCAATCTATATAATGGACTGTAACATAAAGTACATAAAATAAGAATTTTTTTTCACATTTAATCTGCCATGTTTTTATCCCACTGAATTCTCAGCCCACATAAATCATTTAAGTAGCACTTCATTAGGAATGGGAAGGCCATTGAGAGAAGCCAGGATGCTTTCAACTGAACTTTCCATCATCTGTCTTCTGGCTTGATGAGTTGCACTTCCGATGTGAGGTGTCAGAATGATGTTCTTTAACTTCAACAAAGGATGATCTCTGAAATACAGATTAATTGAAGAAGACTATTCAGAGTTGTTTGGTCTCTTTAACTTCATATTCTGGTTTCATATCCCCACCTTCTGATAGGCAAGGCTATGAGAGGCCTTATGGCATACTCTACCCCTAGGTATGACCACCATTCATCTAACCCTAGTATGGGGGACCCAACATTTTTGGGTGCAAAATACGTATCTTAACTGCACCCAGGCCATTAGTACACAATGGCACAACATGCATGGTGGATTGAACAACACTGGCCCAGAAGACAGAAAAGGGCTTTAGGGGAAATAGGTGCTGGTCTAGGCATCATGGGACAAACTGAATGCGCCTTTAATGAGGAGTGACATTCAGAGGGAAAATATTTATTAACTAGAATTAGCAGATTGGAAGGAGTTCTCTTCCAGGAAGAAAGCAAATGATGGGAGTCAGCCTGGAAAGATAATAAGGTTTTAGTGAAGTGGGTCAGGTAGACTCAAAGGTAATGATGGATAATGGTAAAACACTGCATTGGGAAAGGGCTGTAACCTGACCCAAGAGGGCCTCTTGACCACTTTAATACAGACAGAGGCCAAAGTAGCCATATGGCAATGACACTCCTTCCTAGCTACCAAGGCTCAAGGAGCACACTTTTAGGAATCTTATGGACCCCCAAACCTATGGAAGTTTTCTGGGGGCACTTGTAATTTATATCAATGCACTATGACTGCCCTCGCCCCCAGGATTGATCAAAGTAAGACATATCCTATAGTATGGTTAGCAGGGATAGGAACTATTCTGAAAAACACTCACATCCTCCTCATAGGAAGGAGGTGGGCCCTACTATATAACAGCACATATTTGAAACCAGTCTCAGTCGAGGCTATGAACTGAGGCAGGGTGACTGGCTTTGTGCCAACTGACTTGGAACTCAGAAATAACTGAATCATGACCAACTGTAGCAATACCTGTCCGTAAAAATAACTGGTGTATAGGCAAGAGCCAATTCTGTTGAGAAGCCATAGCAAATACCTCTGTAATTGTCATTGATTTGTTATGTAATGAAACTGAATCGTACCAGATGGTGTAACACTGGCACTGTTGGTAAGATTTAGCTACCTCATGTAAATAAGTCATATGAAAATACTGATATTGATGATTGGGAGATTGGGTATTGGGAGATTGAGTTAAAGCTTCCTCAGGGTCTAATACCAATGAGAAATGACTGGCCTGAGGAAAAACTGGATTTAGCTAAATATCAGCTCATTTATATACTATATCGTGCTGCACAAGTTCATCATAAGGTACAAAGAGTGGTAGATGAAGGGGGAAACAAGTAATCAAACTAGTACAAAAATACAAAAACGTATGCAATGGCTTTATAGGATGGGTTAGTTGTTTCTTTAAATCTATCCCTGCCCCATATTGGCTCCTCCAAATGTTAGGCATAGTCATACTGATACTATTGCTGTATCTGTCATATAAATATTATAACAAATGTAGATGCTCCAATAAATATCGTTTTGCTGTAAGACAGCATAGACCAAGGGCGGGGGGGGGAGGAGAGGATGGCCTGTGTAGTATAGGATTAACTCAGCAGGCAAGCTTGGAGTGCTCAAATCCTGCACATTCCAAAGACAGGACTGGCCCTTGACCGGCCTCTGGGAGATAATCTCTGACCCCTTGAGATATATTGATATCCTGATAAGAGTGTTTCCTTATAATTGGTGTCTGGGCAAAGCTAGATAGTTTATGCTAACAATGTGCTTTGTAGTGAATGCCTGTTTTTGTTCGCCTGGGGCCCTGGGCCACTCAGTATCAGTTTGACCTCTGAAGGGGCTAGAGACTAAGTAGCTAATGTCAGACTTGTGGGCCCTCCATGCCTACATGACTGACCTCTTGAAACCAAGGCTTGGGTGGTTAGAAATCCTCCACGTGTGATGTCACACATCATTGCTGGAAGTAGTAAGTACTATCCATACAATCTACTGGGAGAGGACAACTGAAAACGTGTGCTTGGCTTCTCCTGGACTCCACCCTAAGCATTTTTTGCCTTTGCTGATTTTAATCTGTATCCTTTCACTGTAATAAACTGTAGCTGTGAGTATAAAAGCTTTTCTGAGTTCTGTGAGTCTTTCTAGCAAATCATTAAGCCTGAAGGTGATCTTGCGGACTCCTAGCACTATTGGCAAATGAATTTTTTCTTTTTAAAATAATCTTGTAGTAAATCCTTTTGTAAAGCAAAGAATACTTATGTAGTATGACTAAATAGCTCCAAATTTCCTACTTTTTAAATTATTTTTTTTCACAGTAAGAATCAACAAAATGTCTTCCCAAAAAATCAAGATGAAAACTCAAACATCTGATAAAGATAATATACAGGTTAGAAATTAATATGAATACCTAAAGATTGAGTTATTAATAAAATACTTGCTAAATCTCTTGACCACAAAAATAATTTCACATGGGACACTGGGAGTGCACCACCTATTAGGATAAAATAAACTTTGGGATATAACTCTGGTATTTGCCCTTTGGCTTGTTAGTGAATCTAATAAAAAGCTCATTTTAGCAGAATAGGCAACAAGGATGATCACATGACTTCTAGGTTTCTGAGTAAATTGAAAACTGTCTAAAATGCTCATGTTTCTTAATTTATATTAAAATTATTTTTGGTTCTAGATTAGTGGTTCTCAAACATTTAGTCTCAGGACCTCTTTACACTCTTAAAAATTGAGAACCCCAAAGGGTTGTCGTTTATGTGGGTTATATCTATCAACAGTTACTGTATTAGAAATTAAAACTGAGAAAAAAATTTAATACATATAATACAGAAGCACACATTTCATTAGCTGTCACAGTGATGATATAATCACATGTCATTGATTATGGAAAACTCCACTGTACACTTGTGAGAAAACATGAGTGGAAAGGTAAATAACATCTGACATTATCATGAAAATAGTTTTGATTTCACGGACCTTCTGAAAGGATCTCCAGATCACATTTTCAGAAACTCTATTCTAAATAAATTGTTGTTCTTCTCAGAAATGTCTGTAAGTTCTATGGTCAATCTTGATGATTTTAGATATTAAATTTGGTTGTAATGTCAAACATTCAGCTGACAGTGATTTGCTTATGGGATAGAAATCAAAGCTGGAGGAATCAAAGCTAGGAATAGCTAGTTTAATGAATGACAGCACCAAGATTCAAAATAAATGACAGAATCAAGACTCTAGTCCTAACAGGCTGGATCACTGGGTCAAAACACATAAGCAAATGAAATTAAATGGAAATAAATGTAAAATTCCACACAGGTACTTAAAATAATTAAGGGAGGGGCCGGCCCAGTGGGGTAATGGTTAAGTTTGCATGCTCCGCTTCGGCGGCCCGGGGTTTGTGGGTTCGGATACCAGGCACAGACCTACATACCACTCATCAAGCCATGCTGTGGCGGCGTCCCATATACAAGGTAGAGGAAGATTGGCATGGATGTTATCTCAGGGCTAATCTTCCTCAAGCAAAAAGAGGAAGATCGGCAGCAGAAGCTCAAGACCAATCTCCCTCACCAAAATTAATAATAATAATAATAATAATAATAATAATAATAAAGGGAATAACAATTTCAATCTTAGCTGACTAAAACTCATTGAGCTAAGGGTGCAATGAGGCTTACAGGAAACACGTGCCACAAACGCAAGCTTTGTGTCATCTCCTACAGCGGTCAGGCCACAGCATGAATATTGTGTTCAATTCTTGAGAGGACATTTTCAAAGGACCTTAAAAACTCAAGTGCTGGAAGACAATAATAATGACAAGCTGTCTGGAAATGCCATCATTTAGGCTACAATTTAAGGATATGGAGATATTTAGCCTCAAAAAAAAAAAAGACTAAGATGAAACGTAGAGATTGTCTTAAAATACATGAAGGTTTGTAAAAGAGGAAAATGATCCAAGTTATCCTCTGATGCTCCAGAGGGCAAACCAGGGCCAACAGGTCAGGGGGCACTATTTTGGCTCAACATGAGGAAGACTATTCTGTGCAGTCTCCATGTATAGGTCTGCTGCCCAAGTGCCCGGAGCTCCGTCCATGGAGGTGCTGATGCAGAGGCCTGATTGTCCACAGACCTGGACAGGTCACCAGAGGCCTGCTCAGGCCCCTCCAAGACCAAGACCCTACAGTTCTGTGACTCAATATGGCTGGAAAAGCCAAAAGCAGCAATTGTCTGAGGACTGCCCCACCTGTATTGAGAGAACTGTAGATTCTGTCTGGCTTTATTACCTGGGCAGGGGCTCTGGGTACGTCACATCCAGCGCTGCCGCTTTAATAACCCCGGTCTGAAGAGCTTCCACCAGGGCATCTTGATCAACTAACAGACCTGAGTTGACAAGACAATTCCTCTGCAGTCACCGGTTAGGCAGGAAGCAGGAAAGGTGCTTTGGTCACACAAGCTGCTGTTCCAAACACATCCTGGTTTTGTCAAAAGTCTGACAGAGAGAACTCCATTCTGCCTATTCATCATCACAGGCTGTGAGCCTGATGTGTGCCAGGCAGTGCAATAAGCCCCTCACAGACGCTGTCTCACTGAGTCCCCCAATAACCCAGCAAAGCCAATACTCATTTTACAGAAGAGGAAACCGAGGCTCCTACGTTATAAACTCACCCAAGGTCACACAGCTGCTAACACACTGACCTGGATCTGAGCCCAGGCTTGTCTGACCCTGAGCCTGGACAGGTCTCACTTCATACCACCTCCTAAAACCACTGCAGGGTTCGAGCTGAGCCCCAGAGTTTTATATACACATTAAAAAACTGAACAATCACAGATACGATCCGTAAGTCTCATTTCAAATACAAATTAGCAGGGCATGCTGAGCAGCAGAAGCTGAGAGAAAACCCTTTCCTTCCAGCAGAGACCTGCAAGGAGCCCACAACGAGGGCGCCTCCTTTCCGCTGACCAGGTGTGAGTGACTGCCCCACAAGCCAGGACCCAGAGCACCCCTGGCTTGTGTGTGCCACTGGTAGAGAAGCCTCGTCCCAGTCCTTCCTGGGCGTTTGTTTTCCCAGAATCTTGGCCATGTTCACCAGCCTCTGACATTACTGAAAGAACATAATGCACTGTCCTTCCTGCTCATCTGGAGGGTCTGAATTTTCAGAGGACACTCAAGCGTACTAGCTCTACCCTGTGAGGTTTTGTGACAAGCACTGTTTCTCTTGTTTTACAGATGAGAGACAGGTGTGGCTGTTGGCAATGCCGGGTCTCACAACTCTGGCCCCCAACCCCGCAAAGGTGAGCCATCTGGACATCTGACGTCAGCACTGATCCTCACGTGTGCTGTCCCTCGCCAGTGTCCAGAGCACTCTGTCTCTCTATAAATCCCACACCAACCCACCACTACCTCCTGTACACAAACACGTAAAGCACCACGTAAATGTCAACCAAACTAACATTAAGTTATTTTTAAAGTAAAGGCTCAGAAAACTCATCCCCGTAAATTTTGCTTAATTACATCTAGGAGAGCAAACTGTGATGCCCCTACCCCAATTAGATGCCCAAACTTGGATTTGAAAACCCCCATATTGTAGCATTCTCATTCTTTTTGCTACTAATTTGAGGTTCAAAATGATATGAAGACAAACATCAGAAATATTTCTAAACAGAAAGTAAAATCTCTTTAACTCACCACCCCACATGTCTAAGTGGATTTTTCAGACTATGCAGCCATTCAGGAAAAGGTTGACTAGACGTGCCGAGAGAACAGCCAGGGGGTTTCTCCCGCGTGACTTTCCAGCCATGCCAGCCCACACACAGACAGTGGAGCAGGTACCTCTGCCAATGTTGACGAGAATCGCGGTGGGCTTCATCAGCCTCAGCTCCCTCCTCCCTATCAGCCTCTGGGTCTGGGGCGTCAGGCTCACAGCCAACATCACGAAGTCCGATCGCTGAAGCAGGTCATCCAGCCTCTCACAGTAAGTGGCCCCAACAGCTTCCTCCTCCTCCAATTTCCTATGAAGGGAACAAGGAAGAAAAATCACATTCTCTAGTCAGAAATTCACCAAGTTGCCCCAGGAAGGAGTTTCTGAGGGGAGCCAGGGACTCGGTCTGTCCCTCCCTGGGCCAGACCCCCACGTGGGTCCAGGAGGCCGCTGGACCCTGTGGCCAGGACTCACCCATGGAAACCCCGTGGGCACCTCTGGGTTCTGAGGTGAGCCCTCGGTGTCTGTAGGGTGTCCGGACAGACTGGGAGCTCCTTGAGGCCAGGAGCCTCCTCTCACTCGTCTTTGAGCCCCCAAAGCCTGATACAAGCCCAATCGTGTGTCAGACACACTTTCAATGGCATCAGGGCATTGCCGAATGTGGGCAAACACAGCCAAGTTTCCACAAAAACAACCAGGAGAGAGCCTGGGAGTGTTGTCTGTTGAACAGAAAGCAAGGATCCAAGGGTGTGATGCAGGCAGGATTTTGTGTTTTGTTTTTGGTCCAATCTTAACTCCTGCTCTGGCCACCCCAGACAGCTGATTATTCAACAGAAATTCCAAGCTCCAGGAGGTCACAGCATTCCTGGTGGCCACAACTGCCATACAAACATGGAATACAAAATTATACACTCTCTCCTAATACGTGTCTCTGCTGGGGGATGGCATGGAAGAAAAATGAACGGAATGGCCAGCACACCCGGCTCCCTCCTGAACACCCTGCCCACATCACAAACCCTGTCCTGGAAGAGCCCTGGCCTCTGTGTTTGCCCTCTCATTGCACTGAAAGTTGACACCTACCTGTCTCTCCACTGTCCACTGTGCAAATACAGTGACTGAAAACGGAGAACAGTTCTGATACAAAATCTCCCGGCTCACCATGCCTCCATGAATTTCTCATCGGCCAGAAATCTACTCCATGTGCAATGAGAAGTCACTAAATGGGTGAACAATGGCCATCATCTGGCTGGTTTGCAGAGGGGGCTGGAAGTTCAAGAGTGGACGTGAGCAGCCCCTTAGGAGGATGTGTGTTTCAGGTGAGAAAGGATGTGGCCTGAGCCTGGTGGCATTGATGAAGAGAGAGAGAACAGGCAGGTTGGAGGGTTGTTCTAGAGACAGAATCAACAGGACTGCGTGTTGGGCTGAATGCTGCTAGTGGTGGACAGAGGAATTGCATGTGAAAGGAAGTGGGTTTCAGATGGAATAACTGAGTCCATGAGCATATACCTCAGTACTAAAGAAGCCAAATTGCTCAGTGGGTGTGGATAGCATATCCCATGATCAAAAAAATCACTTTAGAAATAAAAAAAGAACACAACTGTGAGTTAAAATCTCTTTTCTTTCTGTTGAAATTTTTTCAATAAAAAGAAGTCACATTCTCAGGTAATCATAAAAATACTACGATCTCTTTCTTGACCATGAATCCTACTTTTGGAGAAAAAGAGTAGGGGAGTCTTATGAAAAATGGAGGGATAATATATCCAAGCCCTATTTAAGGAAGTGATAGTATAAGTTCCACTCAGTTAATTTCAAGTCCATTTTCTGAATTTTACCTGCATTTCCGATTGTGATACAGAATCTTCATTTCAAATGCTTTGGCCCTCTGAGCAATCTTATAGCCAATGCTGCCCATGCCGATGATTCCCAGAGTGGCTCCCGTCACTTCTTGACCCATAAAGTTTATATAAAAGTTCTCTGTATCTGGTGAAATAGCCAACTGATAACCTAAAACATACAAGGTGCAGAGAGGGCAGTGGGGACGGCATCACACACAGAAATCCCACAAGCCTCACTGGGACCTTTTGACCAAGTGACGAGATGCCAGGATGCCTGCAGTGGACCATGGGCACTCATGCATCTCGACCTGACAGCAAACAAACGTTCCTGCAAGGGATGAATGAAAGGAGCACACGGCAGTTTCCTCATAACAAAACCAGCCTACCAGCCTCCTGATAGAATGCTTTAAAATAGCAATTTCTTTCACACTGAGGAAAGATTTCTGGTTAAAATTTGTTGGTTTTGGCATGTGTGCATGTGTGACCATCTGTGTGTGTGCTTGTGACCATCTGTGTATATATGTGTGTATGTGTGTGAACCAGGAGCCAGAAACACAAAGAGCCTGTTTCTTGCTACTCTTTCCTCAAGCCCCTTCACACTGAAGCTCTGTCAGGAGGGTGGGCCGAGTGTTGAATTGCTACACTGCCTTTCCTGGAGACGCCCCCTGAGATGTCCAGTGTATAGGAGTCTACCTACTCACTTGTAGGCCTACACCCCAGGGTAGCATGCTGACCGGCCAACGAATGACCCCAAGGGCTTTTCTAAAGTGGTGCTGAAGTTACTTCACAGCACACATTTACCACCTGTTCCATGAGTGGGTGGAATTCGGTGGGGGAGAACATGGCTGCCTTAAGACAGACTGTGGGACCACATGTGCCTGGGGTGCCAGGCTTGGGCACGAAGTAGGCTGCAAATGACCAAGAGCAGCTCCAGTTCCCAAGTGCAATGAAGTCCTGGATGCGGTGTGAAGAAATCAGGGCCAGGAAAAGACTTGGGGTTTGAAGGCAAAATTATTTTATCATGCGTGTTATTAAATACCTGTCATCTGATCTCTCTGGAAAACCAGCGTCTCCAATGGCTGCTTACCTTCCACTACTCTCCGAGCAGCCGCCAGCAGTAAGGCCATCCCCAGGTCTGCCGTGGGGTTGGAAACAGCGTGTGGTGTGTTGGCCACCTTCACACCAAAGCTGGCAATGAGCTTCAGGTCAAGGTGGTCTAGACCTGCTCCTGAACTGGCAATAATCTTCAAGGAGGGCAGGCTCTGCAGGAGCTCCTGGTTAATAGCTGGCTTTCCACCCCAGATATATACAGCTTGGATCCTTGGGCCAAATTGTATTTTATTTTCTAAAAATTCTTGCATGGTAATGAGATTAAAGTGTTTCTGCAGATCTCCAACATGATCCTCACATATACAATATGGCCCTTCAAATCCGGACACCAGAACTCCAGGTAGGTCCTGATCTCCCATGGCCTGCAGAAAGACAAACATGATTTCTGATGTCACAGAGGAGAGTCCTTGAGAGCACAACTCGCATGCTCTTCAGGTTTTCTACATTACAACAAGAGAGGAATTCATTTTATTTCCTGGATAAACTCCTACAAAACCTGAAAGGCAATAGACCCAGAGCCCTGAAGGAACCAATGTCTCCATCACACCCACTCTCCTCTCTGTCTTACCTGGGGCTTCATTTCTGCTCTTCAGCTGTGCTGGCAGCCTGTGTGGTGGCAGCCTGCGAGCCAGCCTCCAATGACCCCCTCCCGGTAATCCCACCTTTGGGTGACCTCAATCCTGGAGTGCACTTCTAGTGACCTGAAACATGGCAGAAGTGATGGGAGGTCACTGCTCTCACTTGCTCTCTGCCCCACTCTCCTGGAGGAAGCCAGGGCCCTGCTGGAGGTGGCCCGGTGCAGAGGCCCAGGCGAGCGAGCCTGGAAGCCAACGCCCGGTGAGCCTGGAGAAAGCAACCCTGGCCGACACCTTGATGAACATTTTGTGAGACAGCCTGAGCCAGAGACACCCAAGTAGCCACTCATGTCCTCCTAACCCTAAGACCTGGGAGATAACAGATGTTTGTTGTTTCCAGCTAAAATTTAGGATAATTTGCTACGCAGCAATAAATAACTAATAAAACTGACCATTTTTTACTAAGTAAAAGATATTTGTTATTATCTGTCAAATGAATTAAAGTTTTATGTTCCTTGTTCCTAATTAAAAATAAGATATTTTAAACATTTTATAACTTTCCTCCAAAAAGAAAACCTGTTGCTTTTCAATAGTTGAGGCTAATGAATACATTTTATTTTTGGGTCAAACTTAGCTAAAAATGTTTAAAAGTTTTTTAAAGCTCAGAGTGTAATTGGTTAAAAAATACTTGTGTTTACTTTTTGGACTTTGAGTAAAAGACTGAGAGCGCTTTATTCAAGATAAGAAGATTTAGTTTATTTTCACAGAGAGGAGGCTCAATTCCTGACTGCTCTATCTTTGACTTTCCTAACACTGGTTATGGAGTGGTGGTACACGCCCATCACCCCATTATTGTCAGTGGTTGTGCGTGGAAAAGACCCAAGATTCTCCAGGTGACTCGTGGCTGCTCCAAATGCCACATGGGAGTAAGATTCCCGGTCAGGAGAGATGCAGGGATAGTGATGGGAGCGCCGGGCGGATTCAGGAGCTTACTCCTTTCTCCATCTCTCTTCACACACACCAGGCTTGGACCATCAGCAATCACAGGCCAGGGGTCCAGCAAAGGAGCATGACACAGGAAGTCAGACCCCATCAACAGCTTCCTGAGAAGGAGCAGAAGGACTCTTTGCTGCTGGTGCTCAGCCCTGTGCTCAGAGGGGTGGACTTTGGCTCGGGCACAGCTCTGTGGCTGGGCCGAGGTCTCCCAGCCTTCCTGAGTTCTTGGTGAACCTGGAGTACTAATAACAGGGAGTGATTTCGAGCTGCACCCTAAGAGCACATTTCCCTCTCTTCCCCTAATTTCTGCATAGACAGAGCTAAGTGGACATGCCTCTGGCAGGTGTCCTTGAATGGACAGTATTAACATGACGGGGAGGCTGGGAACATTCTGACAACGAAGGAACACTCAACCAAGTAGGTGTGTTATTAGGCACCTGCATTTTGTCCAACTCAAAAGAAATTTGGAAAAATCAAAAATTTTACAGCTGTGTTTTTGGCTAACAGAGTGATAGCTCAGATATGTACATCTTCTAACTGCCATGTGCATTTTCCTCATGTTATTCAATTTGAACTGTTGAAATAGATTAAAAATTAGTTATTTTCTTCTTATAAAATGATTGCTTAATTTAAAAAAGAAAAGAATATTACTTTTGTTGAAATTGCCTTCAACAAACCCAAGGCTCTAAATTCAGGATATTCTTTTTTTAAAGTCCCTGTAAAATTGAGACCCAGAAAGAAAAATAAAGTAGAATGAACTTCCAATGGCTTCGTTCAAAGGAAAGTCAGATGACATTTATACAGTACTCAGGAGAGAGAGGTGCGGAGGGAGGCGCGCAGATCCGCTGACCCTGAAGCAATGGGTGCTCGCTTGTGACTGCTGGGGACTCTGGGTACAGTGAAGGATGGAGGCGGGAGGAGGGGGGGCTACACGAGTACAGGCTCAGTCGCTCAACGAGGGCTCTGAGAACTGCGTCGTTAGGCAATTTTCTTATTGTGCTAACATCAGAGTACTTACATAAACCTAGATGGTGTAGGCTACTACACACCTAAGCTATGTAGGGAAGCAGAATTTGCCACCCCAAATACGTCTCTTTGGCATAAAAATTGTTTTAGGCTGGTTATTTTTTAAAGAAACAGCAGACATGGGAGAAGCTCTGAAAACCAAGTAGAAGTCACCCTTTTGTAAGAGACATTTACATTTGTAAGGGAAACCACGTGTACCAGTAAGAGGAGGATGACTCTAAATCTCTAGGAACTCTCTTCATCAATGGAGAAGGCAAGGACTAAAATCTGAATAACAACCTTACCCTTGTTTACTGTGCTTTTCCTGGTCACCTCCCATAACTGACTCCTCACCCCGACATCAGCTTTTGTCTTTAGCTGAAGATGGTATTTAAGGTGATGGCTCCTGCCATCTTGGCAAATTATGGGTCTCTCCCAGGTATACAGGAGGTACACACGTTATTAAACTTTTGATTTTCCCCTGTTATTCTGTCTCATGTCAATTTAATTCTTAGACCAGGCAGAAGAACTTAGAAGGGTAGAAGAAAATTTTTGCTCCCTGACAGCTATATGGTGCTAACCTTATGGGACCACCATCGTACACGTGGTCCGTCACTGACCAAAACGTCACTGACCAAAACGTTGTTATGCGGCACACGACTGTAGAGAGAACTAGTTCAATTCGCAGAAGACAGCGGGGTCAGAATAAAGAATGTATTTTTAATTTAAAGATTTTATTTATGTATTTATTTTCCCCCCAAAGCCCCAGTACATAGTTGTACGTCATAGCTGCACATCCTTCTAGTTGCTGTATGTGGGACGCGGCCTCAGCATGGCCGGAGAAGCAGTGTGTGCCCGGGATCCGAACCCAAGCCCCCAGCAGTGGAGCGCGCACGCTTAACTGCTAAGCCACGGGGCCGGCCCATATTTTTAATTTAAAAAGCAAAAACGAGAAACATAAAAACCAAATGCAACCACTAAAAACATGTTTTAGTTTTTGAGACACAGAGAAAGAGAAACAACAAAGATGGAGTGAGGGCAGGACCAACAGACGAGAACAAAGCTGGAGGAAGTGCAGATGAGGAGCTGGGCTCTGCTTGGCTGTGCTTCTCTCTGAAACTCACTTTCCTCCAACGTAAAATGAGGGTAACAGACAGCCTTGCACGGTGGCCCTGATGGTGACACAACACGCAAAGCCTGGAGAACCAGCTGTAAGCTTTCAAGAATGGGAGTTACTAATGTTTAAACCTGAACAATTTAGATATTTACCCAAGTCTTTAAAAACAAACAATACTACACCAAAGAGGGGGACTGGATTCATAAAACACAGTAAAATTTCTTAAAATTCTATTTCCTCATGCCTCTTCCTCTCTTAATATTTGACAGGTGACTCCAATACCCCCAAATCATCCTTACTTCCCCAATGTGCCAAGACTTGCTTCAAACCAGCACCAGCTGGCTTTTATCTTCCCTTCATGCCAAATCTGTCCTCTTCTCCTTTCTCCAAACCTTTCAAAGTCTATTCTCGTCCCACCTACCAGTTCTCTGCCCGTCCATGAGTATAAAATCAAAGTTGTTTGTTCTCTGCCCTCCACACAGACCCCCGGCCCCGATTCTGCACAAAGGAGGCTCAGAAAACAGGCTGGAAAAAAAGAATTTTCCATAATGAGGGGTAAGCGATGCCATGGTTACCACTCTGCTTTCTTATCATCCTTAGCATGATATTCTAGATTTGACAGAGAATGATCTAATCAGCACATGACTAGATAAGGGGACCTCAAATATTAAGATATGCCAAAGGGCTGACAGAGTCCAAAGGCCTGTTTGCACTTTTACGTGAGGTTTCTCCAGTCACCAGCTATCAACAGACCCAATATAATTTAAAACCAGTACTATCACAATGCATCTCAGCAAAAACAGGGGTTACCCTCCTAAGAAATGGATTGTCAGGGCTTGCTGAAATTAAAGAATGGCAAGCTAAAAAACCAGATTCACGTAAGGGTGTAAAATATGAACTAGAATCTGACTTGGGAACCCGAGCTTAGGAAAATAATACATACCGGTAGACGTTTAGGTTCAGGCAGAGTCCCTGGAGCTGCCTTAAGTCCTCTCTCGCACGAGGCACCTATAAATAATACCGACGTTGGGTTTTTCCTTGTTAAATCCTTTAGGATCATGCAATGCAGGTCTGGACGAGTCTTGGGATTCTAATACGGCCCACCTGTCCCAGGTGAGGTCCGAGGTCACAGCCACACCCACGCGGCAGAGCTCGGCCCAGCCCACGCCGCAACATGTTAGGGGCACACTGACCTTTTAAAAGGACCCCAGATTTAAGGGACGCTCTAGTGGACCGCAGCCTTTTGGGCACGTCCCTGACAGTGAACGCCGGGGTCAAAGAGCGCGGCGACCTCGCGCCTGCCGACCCAGCACCTGATTCCGCCGGCCACGCCCTCTGTCCCGCCCCACCGGGCACGCTCCTGCCCCGCCCAGCCCCCACCCGACGTGACCACTCTCTCTGCCCCGCCGGCCACGCCCTCTCCCCCCCCCCCCCCGCCACGTCCCTACCCCGCCCCAACCCGACTAGACTACACCCTCCGCCCTGCCGGCCACAGCCCCTGCCCCCGCCCAGCCCTCCCCGACTAGACCACGCCCTCCGCCCCCCGGCGCCGCCCTCCGCTCCCACCCCGCCGGCCCCGCCCCGCCTCCATCGGCCCCGCCCACACCCCGCACGTTCACGCCCTGCTGGCAGACACGGACGGCGGAAGTCGCGGCGGCGCGCACCGGAAGCG